TTACCGGCAAAGACAAGCGCGCTAGGATAGCTACTTCCGGCTTATTAGTCGTCGTCAGTTAGCGATAGCTAACTCTAGTGTAGCCGCTGAAATAACTTGTTAATAAATCCGTGAATATATTTTGTCTCGCAGGTGCTCTTGTCTCTGTAGATACTCTGTCTGAGCATTGTATGCCTACTCCGTTGTACTCTTTTATTTTCAGAGTAGCGTAAACATGAGACAGAGTAAGCGGGACGTCGGCTGGTTTTGCCATGAAGTTCCCCTGCGTAAGCACACGGGTCCCGCGCCTGCGCCGCCCATTTCGCAGATTCCGCTCATGGGCCTAATGCCTGAACCCAAAGAAGGCCCACCGGAGGTGCTGCCCAAATTTCGTCCTACTGATACACCCTACATCCAACTCTCCAGGATGGGTGGCCGCAAGGACCTGCTGTGTTTCCGAGAAAATCCACCAGATCGCGGCTATGTGGAAATGCCGCCACGCTGTCAGTGGTTCTACCTCGAGGACAACAATCTTGCTGACCAGACTGGGAGAGAGAAGAAGGAGCCGTACGTCTTCAAGGTGCCCTGCTACATGACTTCCATGTCACGGCCGACAGCGAAGCCACCCTCACCGCCACTACAGGAGGCGCCACCACTGCCAAAAAAGAACAAGATAAAGAAGGGAAAGTTACCGGATCAAAGACCCGGTTATGCCGAGTACAATAAACGGCTGAATAAGGTTGGAATAGCTCGACGTGAATATGTAACCCCGAGTTGTGTAGGATTTCCAAAGGTACGTTTGGACGACTTTTTTTTCTCGTGAAACTGTTGTTTAATGTACTTCTCTTTTTTCAGTTTTATGCCTCTTAGTTATAGCCATTTTACGAGGGCCAATATTCCCTTAAAAAGGCAAAACTATCTTGTAGGGCTGCCTAAATATCTATTCTCCCCACCCGACTGTCTTACGGAATTGTTGGTTAAGTATTGAACTCTTGATTAACGGGTGCAAATGAATATTTAATTGTGTTGAAAATGATCAGAGAATATTAAATTAAAGCCACCTATAATTTTAATAAGTTCCATCAAGATAAACACATGTTGCTCAGGCAGCTGGTGCCCATTTATGGAAGTTTGATCTTATATTGGCGGTATTTAACGTAAAAAGAAAGTATGGGTACTGAAAATGTAAAAGTAGTTTATTATTATAAGTTAAGTGCAAATATGACCTCTAAAGACAGTCCTACCGAAAAAATCTCAGGAGAGGTGAATCTCTCCTAACCCTCGCCTATATCTCCCTTCCATTAGATAGTCATTCAATAAATTTATTTCGATTTTTTCTACCATGAGCCACATCTTTAATATCTCGGGAGGGCAAGGCTACAAAGTCCTGTCACTGAGCTTTCTATACGCATGCCAATTCTACAATAAGGCTGCTTTTTTTGAAGAAACAAAGTGTTTGAGAAAAAGAAGACTCGATCGCAGGAACAATATGTTTATTCGCCTGACGTTTCGACATCCGTCGCGGATTCATCA